ACTTTATTCTCGTAATATTACGACTTTATTCTCGTAATATTATGACTTTATTCTCGTAATATTACAACTTTATTCTCGTAATATTATGACTTTATTCTCGTAGACCTAATATTATGACTTTATTCTCGTAGACCTAATATTATTATTCTGTAATTTAAAATAAAATAAAAAAGTCTGGCCCTACTCCGTCGTAGTAAACGCAAGGGAACGATACTTTTCGGGGGAACAATATTTGGTGTAACACCGGCCGACAGTGACCGCAACAACCGGAAGTGTTTTCTTGTGTACAACGAATAACGTGAAGCTTTCTGTCTTTAGCAGGATTACCTTTCATTACTCACCACAGCGGAATGAATGTGCACTTAATCTTTGTGTAGTCGAATCAACAACGTTTCAGGTGAGTTGTATAAAACAGTTTTTTCATTATTTCTCTACAAGCAAGTTTTTTTTGGGGGGAAAAGCTCGCAGCTTACATTAGGGGACGATAGCATGTGCTAATACTGCAGCTATATATAATATATATATAATATATCATAGTACTAGTTGTTACATTAATGTTTGATATGTTTACTGAGAGTTATGGAGTTACCTAACTAGCTAAAGATGAGATTTGGCAATTACCATGTGATCATAACCACAAAACATTAAAAATAAAGAAGTTTGACGTAAAACAAATACCCACTTAATAGTTAGTTACTATATACTGAGTGTACCTTTATGATCTGAAGTTTTCACACTGCTTTAACCGCCTTGGTATTCTGTTTATTGTGACAATCCAGAGATGTCCATGTCCCATCTGTATGGACGGAGAGAGGAGGAGGAGGAAGGTGTGGAGGTGGAGAGCTTTGAGGTGACAGACTGGGACCTGGCCAATGAGTTCAACCCCGAGCGCCGCAGACACAGGCAGACCAAGGACCAGGCCACCTATGGCATCTGGGCTGACAGAGACTCGGACGAGGATGAGAGGCCTAGCTTTGGAGGCAAGAAGTAAGGCGTGGGTTTATGTTTGTTACTGCCCCTGAAGTCTTGAAGTGTGTTTCCCCTCACTTTAACCTCTCCCTGACCCCGACCGGTTACCTGCTACTCCTAACCCAAGCCCTAACCCCGCAAATCAAACAGGAGGAGAAACCGTATTCAAAAGGCAGCAGACTTGAACGAAAAGACCCCAGCTTAGATATCCCAAGAGGAATAGTTAACAGAAACACCAACGTCTGCTTTGTTTTTGTTTTTTTTAAATCAATTGTTAACAGAATTCGATTGTCGTTGGGTTTTTTTTTCTTTTAGATCAAAAGACTACACTGCTCCGGTGAACTTTGTGAGTGGAGGTCTGCGTAAGAGTGCAGCTGAGGAGAAACAGTTCCAGCAAAAAGAAGGAGGCTCTGATGACTCCGATGATGATGATGGTCCTTCAGCGCCTCCCCCTCCTCGCGGCACTGCACCCAAAAAACTTCAGATGGTAAATTTTGTTGCACATTTGTTCTTTACTCATTACAGTGTATTCTCTAATTTTAGTTTTTAGTTGTTGTTGTTTTTTTTTGGTTGTCAAAAACTACTTTTTTTTCTTCCCAGGGTAATTTTCGGGGGAACCAGTCTCAGAGGTTTGCAGGTGGCATACAGTCTGGTAAAGGCATTGGTAGCTGGGAGAAGCACACAAAGGGAATTGGACAGAAACTTCTTCAGAAAATGGGCTACCAACCGGGCAAAGGCCTGGGAAAGAATGCTCAAGGTGGGTAGGCCTGAGGCTAAGTTATTGAGATGTTTAGTAACACTGTATGTTACAAGAGCAGCAGACTAGAGTTGGTATAATCTGACCAAGCACCCTTTTATTGCTGCAGGTATCGTGAACCCCATTGAGGCAAAGGTTCGTAAAGGCAAGGGAGCAGTAGGTGCTTATGGCAATGAGCGAACCAAGCAGAGTCTTCAGGATTTCCCTGTGGTCGACTCAGAGGAAGAGGAGGAAAAGGTAAAGTGTTGTACAAAGAATGTCTTTGCTGCCTCTTCCAGATACACCCGTTGTTACGTTGTATAGATAAAGTTATATTATAGAGCCAGTCAACATTATTTTGACATTATTCTCAATTTCTGTTTGTGTAGGAGTTTCAGAAGGAGCTAGGCCAGTGGCGTAAGGATCCCGCAGGCCCTGGAGGAAAGAAGAAACCTAAGTACTCCTACAGAACGGTAGATGAGCTGAAGGCTAAAGGCAAGCTGGCGGGGCGCAGCACAGTGGCATCCGCTGGAGAGCTAGCTCAGGTCAAGGTATGTTTGAAAAGACTTATTAATTAAGATGCATTAACACGTCTTTGCATCGGTCTCACAGGAATGTTATTAGGGCACCAGGACTATAATCCACACTTCTTACATTAAGCTGTAATGTTGTAGTAAGCTTCAGAAGCTAAGTTAATTGTACTTTTACACTCAGGCCCTTGTGGATGTTGTTATATGAATGTAAGCACGTGGTCCGCTGCCATTATTGTCTCTGAATCTCATTTACCCCATATCTCTTCCCATCTCTAGGTAATAGATATGACTGGAAGGGAGCAAAAGGTATATTACAGTTACAGTCAGATGTCCAACAAGCACAGTGTTCCAGATGAAGGTCCACCAAGCTTATCCACTCAGGATCAGAAGGGATCTGGCTTTGCTCTCCCTGAACTTGAACATAACCTGCAGCTACTGATAGACCTCACAGAACAGGACATATTACAGGTATGAGGGAACCAAACATATCTACCAAATATCTTATTTGGTTTTATGTCGTTGTGGTTTCTACAAGTTTTCTATGTACCACTCTGCTACTTCTTTTTCTGCTACATGCTGACCTGCTTTCTCCTTTGCTATCTTATTACCACCTTGTGTAGTCTGCCAGACGTCTGCAGCATGAAAAAGACGTAGTTGTGTCTCTGAGCCATGAGTCACGAGCACTGCAGAGCAGACTGGATGCAGAGCACGATGCCATCCAGAGAATGGAGGCCGTTCTGGCATTGGTGGAGCGCTTTCCTTCTGGGGAGATGGCACCAGGGGAGGGACCCACCCTGCAGGTGCATACACAGTGAACACAGAAACACTGACAACTACAATTATCAGGCTGTTTCAGTTTGTCAGTCCTTACTCTGTTGTCACATCCATATAGTTAATTGTTTTGGTGCCTTCCACCTCTTTCTTCAGGAGTGTGCTCGGATCTTTGAGACTTTACAGACAGACTATTATGAAGAGTACAAGACAATGGGATTGGCAGACCTGGCTGTAGCTGTTGTTCAACCGTTACTCAAAGAGAAACTTCGTTCCTGGGACCCTCTGAAGGTATGCTTGGGCTATTATCTTACATACTTAAACTATTAGCTTTAATCATCAATAATTAATAATAAAGCTACCACTGTTGTCTGATTATTTCAGGACAGCTCATATTGTCTGGAAGACATCGGTCAGTGGAGAGCAATCCTTGAATCTAGAGACCTGCACTCCAGTGCCCCAGATTCAAACATGGATCCTTACCACAGGTAACTTTAAACACTCAAACATATATAAGATTTTTTGTGCATTTGCATGTATACATTCTACTGGCTAGGTGATGTTTTTCACTGTATGTGTTCTGGGTTTTTTTTGGTCCAGATTGTTGTGGGAAGTGTGGATCCCAGTGATGCGGTGTTGTGTATCCAGCTGGCAACCTCGTATGGTAGGGCCAATGGTGGACTGTGTGGAAGTTTGGGCTCCTATACTCCCCCTGTGGATCCTGGATCACCTGTTGGAGCAGTTGATTTTACCCCGGCTACAGCGAGAGGCAAGACACGCATCTCTACTTAAGGACACTTCCTTAGATGTATGGAAACTCCCGTGGTTTTAATCATTTCACATAACTGATGTTTTTATTCCTTTCTGTTTGGTAGGTGGATAACTGGAACCCTTTAACTGACACGGTGCCCATCCACTCCTGGATCCACCCTTGGCTGCTGCTGCTCCAATCACGCCTAGAGCCGCTTTACCCACCAATCCGGAGCAAACTATCCAACGCCTTGCAACGGTGGCATCCCAGCGACACCTCAGCCCGCCTCATTCTGCAGCCGTGGAAAGACGTTTTCACGCCAGGCGCTTGGGAGGCCTTCATGGTGAAAAACATCATTCCTAAACTAGGTATGTCTTCATCAGTGAAAGTGTATTTCCTTGCAGTTTAATAGTTCTCTGTCCCTCCTTTTACACTGGTTTCTCTTCTCTTGTTTCCCTCTCCAGCTCTGTGTCTGGAAGAGCTGGTTATCAACCCTCACCAGCAGCAGATGGAGCCATTTCACTGGGTGATGGACTGGGAGGGCATGCTGTCCCCCTCCAGCCTTGTGTCCCTGCTGGACAAAAACTTCTTTACAAAGTGGTTGCAGGTCAGTGGTTATAATTACAGTAATTAAGATGCACTTATTAGCTTCAGTTTGTTATTGTAAAATGTATTTTTGTGTGACTTTATGTCTGTTTGTGTTCTGTTGATTTATAGGTCCTGTGTTCATGGTTGAGCAACAGTCCTAACTATGAGGAGATCACTAAATGGTACCTTGGTTGGAAGAGCATGTTCAGCGACGTCTTGTTGGCACAGCCGCTCATTAAAGAGAAGTTTAATGAAGCTTTGGACATCATGAACCGTGCAGTGTCTTCAGGCATGGGTTGGTATTACACTCAGTCTCAGAAAATAAACATGAAAACTATTCCTTTATAAAAATTAGGATATGCACTAACACATACTACAACACTCATTCTTGTTCATACCCACAGGTGGATATATGCAACCTGGTGCCAGGGAGAATATTGCATATCTAACACAGACGGAGAGACGAAAGGACTTCCAGTACGAAGCGATGCAGGAGCGCAGAGATGCCGAGAGCGTGGCTCACAGGGGAATCAGTGCTGGTGTGCCGACTAACTTTAAAGATCTTATCCAGACCAAGGCGGAGGAGAACAACATTGTCTTTATGCCCTTAGTGGCCAAGCGGCACGAGGGCAAACAGCTGTACACATTTGGCCGTATTGTCATCTACATAGACAGAGGGGTTGTGTTTGTGCAAGGAGAGAAGACTTGGGTGCCCACGTCTTTACAGAGTCTCATAGATATGGCCAAGTGAGGGAGGACTGACTGATTCCTGAACAAACGTTTGCTCTTTATGTAACTTCAGTATGTGGATCCGTGTCTGTACATTTTAAAGTGTCACTAATAATGTGAATAAATCCTTTTTGAATGTATGTGGTCTACTTGTGTTGTTTTAATCAGATGTGAAATGGGAATAAGTAATGTTCAAGTACTGTACTTATACAGAATAATACATATAGGCATGTATGTATATAATAGTTGATTTTCAGCAGGGAAGGAAAGTTTCTGTATATATTTTCTCACTTCACAAGAAACCTGCTCACAAGGTAGTATGTAAACGTACAGAAAAAGGACATACCTTGTTAATATTGATGCACATAAACAAATTTTGAAATGATAGTGTTATTGCTACTTCTATTGACCCCTTTTTGATTAGTTTAACCATTCGTGCTGCATATTTTTCATGTTTAAATAACAATACAATGATACAACAGAGATAGGGAGAATAAATAATGTAACTTAAAATCATTTTAGTGTATTACAGTCCTTTTTTTTAATGACTTGCAATACCAGTGTTTACATTTTTACCATAGATGGCGCTGTACCTTCTGGTTCTTCATCCGGCAAACCGGTTTGAGGATTTTGGCACGGCAGGGCTTCCGTCCATACACGGCGCTTTGCGGTGGAACAAAAGTACCGCGTACATGTGCATTTGTGCACGGTTTAATACTTCCTGACGCACTTCTTCACCACACAGGTATGTGGACGTGTATCGATATCTCATTAAATGCACAATATATCGACTGTTTGGTGTTTATGATTAGAAAAAACCGCTTTTATGAGCCGACGAGCTCCTCAGCCTCAGAGCCACAGTGCTAACGTTGGCCATCTTGTGCTAATAGGGAAACGTATTAAAGTTACTGCAAGTAACTGAAGGTCTCAGTTTCTACATATTCTCGTTCTTTATCCAGCCAACAATGTCGTCGGACGCCCTGAAGAAGCGAAAGTCGAAGGTCCTCCGCACTGAAGGAGGAACCCCCGAGATGAAGCGAGGTCGCGGAGACGGGGAGCAGCAGGTGGGAGACACTGGAGGGAGGACTGGGGTCAATGTCCCTCTGTTAGCAGCCACAAATCCGTCCTAAAAAAGGGTTTCATTGGGGAATATAGCTGAGATGTACAATTCAAAAACAGTCAAGCTCACGTTTGTGTTTTAGTTACAGTAGAAATTGAGGCTTTGATTGCTAATTGCTTGAAAAATGGGTCCACTCTTGGGAATTAAACAGTTTGCACATCATATACAAAATAATTCTGAAGTGCATTATGTTTAAAATAGGGCTGCACCATTTGGTAAAGGCCTTGTATATTATTTTGATAGATATTGTGATATTATATGATGATTTACAGTTTGTGTGGGAATATCATTTTTATCATCACAAATTTAATTCACAGTGAAAAATGATGATTATGAGGTGAAATTGTGAGAAATGTGAGTCTGTACAAAACATTGGGGAACAAGATTTGTAGGCGTCTCTTGAAATCTACAAATAACTTAAATGTAATGCTGATTTGTCACATTTTACCTTTTAACAAACAAATTGTTTTTATTGCGATTTCAGTAAGATTTCAATTTATTGAGCAGCCCTAGTTTAAAAATATAATAAAAAATAATATATACAGACTACTGAGTAGTAAGATGTTTCTGGGTTTATAAAATGCTCCAAACACATTTTCTTTACCGGATAATCAGGTACTAATTCAGGATAATGGAAGTACAAGTTATCAGTATTGTAGCTGGAGTAAACCGGAGTTAACGCGGTCACTCACTTCTTTGACCACAAGTCTGAATCCCTGCTAGTTGTGTTGTAATTGCTTCAGAATTGATGTTGTGTTTTTCCCAGGACATGCGTGTGTATAGTGAGGAGGTGGAGCTGGACGGCAGGGACCCTGAGCAGGACTACCTGCAGTACAAGGAGTCATGTGAGAGCTTGGCCACACTCATGAGTGAGATCCAGGACCTTAAGACCAATGGAGCCAAGGAGGGGGTAAGAATCATATCAAACTACTGTCATTATAGACTGATTTCATTGTAAGTCTTTGTCAATTAAGAACGTTGCCCCACAGCAGAAACCTTATACATGATGTTTGTAGTATTGGTAAATCACAACGTTGTTTATATGATTGCACACAACGTTGATTCTGTGTCTTTACCAATAATAGTGAAGTCTAACCAGTTGTATCTGTTCTCAGTGTGCTGAGGTGGAGCAGAGACGTATGCAGTGCTGCATCCACTTCATGAATGTGAAGAAACTCAATCGTCTGGCTCATATGCGACTAAAGAGAAGCAGAGATCAGACGCACGAGGTAACGCCCACACGACTCTCAAACGCCCTCCAATATTTGTGAGATTTTAAAAGAAATACCAGCTTAGGTTAAGTTTACACTATTCCATTCATTTGCTGAAAAAGTGCTGCATCAACTCTATTTTGTGCTGATCAGGGTTGTGCTGGTCAAGTTGAACACCAAGCACTTTGTTTCTACTTATAACCCCTAACTGCAGTAGCTGCCACTGTCAGCAAAGAAAGTGTACGAACCCTTTTGTTGGTTTTTGTTTAGAATTTATTGATCCAGTTTCCGATCTTGCTTATAGATCCTTGTTCTTATTGAATCCTGGTTGTGATTCTTGGCATATTGTTTGGCGTGGGTTTGCAAACCAGCCGTGATCACCTTTTTTATTCTCTTCTTTTTCCTTCAGGCTAAGCAGAAAGTGGATGTGCTGCATCTTCAGTTACAGAACCTGCTTTATGAAGTTATGCATCTTCAGAAGGAGATCAGCAAGTGTCTGGAGTTCAAGTTAGTACAAAATACTTCATGCAACCTTTACAGCAGCCTTTACTTTGAACATAAAAAGCAAGCTGTATTTATACAGCAGTTTAATGACAAAATTCAGTCTCAACAAAACGTTGGGTCACCCCTCAAGCCCTAAAAATAAACACATCCCTGTTCTTTCTGACAGAGATAGATTTATAAGCACTCAGTATCTACTTAAGTTAAAAATAATTACTCAAACTCAAAATGTGTAGTTGGTTAAGAAAAGTTGCGCAAGTAGAGTAAATGTGACGTGTTACTTCCACTGTTGATAGTTTATGTACATAATTTAAGAAATGCATTCTTCCGCATTAGAAATGACAATAAACTTATATTGCATTTGTACGTATTTCCTATAGAAAATGTAGCTCAAAAATGCTTAGTTAACGTACCTTTCCCTGAAACAGATCTAAACATGAGGAAATAGACTTGGTGTCTGAAGAAGAGTTTCACCAGGAGGCTCCATCAGAGATTTCCAGGCCTCACCTCACAAGAAATGATCCCCATCAACTCACACTGGCACGACTCGACTGGGAGCTTGAACAGAGGAAGAGGTATGCAGTCTTGGACACAGCATGGTGCTGTGGTTAAAAAAAAAAAAAAA